GGGGGCGGGGCGGGGCGCACGACTTCCCCAGTGACAGGGACTGGGCTGTGTCACCCGCCCAGGCGTGAACACAGCCGCCGGGAGGGAGAGCGCAGCATTCCTGACTAGAGCCACTGACAGAAAACGAGAAACTGACAGACATTGACATGCGGAAAGGGAGGGTTTGGGCTTTGCGAGGAATATTGTACCATGTTCCACAGATTATTATTTTTTGCAGTACTGGGGGTTGGACCCAGGGCTGTCTGAGCTGCACCCCAGCCTCCTCTTTTGTTTTGAAACAGGGCCTCACTAGATCCCCGGCCCTTTCTGAATTTTTGTTTTTAGACAGGATCTCCCTAAACTGTCCAGGCTGGGCTTCGACTTGGGATCCTCCTGCCTCAGCCTCGCAGTGTGCTGGGAATACAGATGTGTGCAGGATTAACTTTTTTAAAATTCTATTAGTACACTTTCGCAGTACACAATGATTACATCCATTGTGATGAATTTTGGGAATAAATGTTGGATTCCGTTAACAGTTTTTTCAGCTTCAGCATCTTGGGGGATACTAGTGCAGTTTTTCCTTAGGCCTATTAATATGGTAGACTTTATTTTTGGTGTGTGTGTGGTTTTTTTTTTTTTTGGTTTTTTTGAGACAAAATAGTCGCTTAATATTTCAGGCTGGCTCTGAAGTCACTATGAAGGCCAGACTGGCCTTGAACTCACGGCGATCCTCCTGCTGAGATAACAGGCGTGCACTGCCGACACACCCTGTGGTCGATTATTTTAACCGGTTTCCTGCCATTGGTCCATCTTTGCCTTCCTGGGTTAACCCTACTGAGCCATGATGCGTAACTCTAGCGTGGCGCTGGAGCCGGTTGGGGATTGCACACCGACATGCCTCCAGGCGGTGTCCCCTGTGTCTTGGGCCAGGACTGGGCGGAGAGGTCACCTGCTTCCTAAGAGCACCTCTGTTTCCCTTTGTCCTCTGTGCCGGCGGGACGCCCTGCACCTGCACCAGCAGAGCCCGGGACTTCGTGTGAGCAGCCGCTGGAGGGTTCACTTGGTTCCCTCTATAAAAACTGGTCATTTTAGACTTCTGTCTCTATGGGGTCAGTTACGTGCCAGGGAACTGTCCTTTTCTAAGGAATGTTCCATTTCTTTTAGTTCTGGAAGTTTCTGTAGAAGCATGATAAAAAAACTAATACACAATAAATAACACAGTACTCTCCTTTATTAAAATTCCTTCAGTATTAGTGGTTTTTGTTTTTTGGGATTTTTTTTTTTTTTTTTTTTTTTTTTTTTTTTTTTGGTTTTTTTTTTTTTTTTTTTTTTTTTTTTTTGGTACTGGGGATTGGAACTTGGGCCCTTGCGCATGCAAGGCAGGTGGTGGAACCACTGAGCTAAATCCCCAGCCTAGTATTAGTGTTTTACCCATGTCTGTGTGCGCACACCCACATGTGCTAATGGATGGACAGGAAGAGAGGTGTGTCTTGTTTCACTTTCCTTAGGGAGCCGCTCTCACCGTGGTGAAGGCTGCTCTTGAACTCACGGTGACCCCCTCCTGCCTCAGCCTTCCAAGTGCTCTAGGGATGTGTGCCACCTGGCCTGGATGGTGTACATTTACCAAAGATAGAAAAGAACAATATTCGATCCCCGGTACCAAAAAATAAAAAAATGAATAAAAGAACAAGAGTCTGGAGTAAAGTTGCCAGTGAGCAGCTCATAGAGGCCAGAGGATACAGGAAACTGGGTCTTCTGTAGTAGATGCAATTTCGGAATTATCTCCCTCTCATGCAAATAAGGCAATGGCACAGTACCCTAGCAAGTGCTTACTTGGTGTCAGGCCAGCTACAACTGTCCAATCAAGACACCTCTTTGGCTTGTGTTTCATGTAAATGATCAGGAACAGGCCCTTTTGATTGGTTGTGCCCATATGCAAATGAAGGGTCGAAAAGAGCATCTTTTGATTGGTCCTGCAAACAGCAACGGATTCAAATGGAGTATTAAAAATAGCCAAGTTTCTGATTGACTTTTATGACCGTGTGCAGTGATATTGGGAGTGTCCCTTACCACTTTCCTTACATTAGCTAGTAAGCCTTTTGATTTTTATTTCATATATTTTTGCCCTGTTCTATTTAATCCTTACTACTGTTTTTGTTGTTGTTGTCGTCTTTGACACAGGATCTCACTATGTAGTTGAGTCTAACCTGGAACTCACTATGTAGCCCAGGCTGGTCTCAAACACAGCCATCCTCCTGCCTCAGCCTCCCAAGTTCTGAGATTACAGGTGCATTCCACCATGCCCAGCTTACTGTTGTATTTTTATTTTTTTAAAGTTTTTAATTTTGGGGTTTTTTTGAGACAGGGCCTCACTATGTAGTTCAGACTGCTCTGGAACTCACTGTGTAGTCCAGGCTGGTCTCAAACTCACAGCGATCCTCCTGACTCAACCTCCCGAGTGCTGGGATTACAGGCGTGCACCACCATGCCCGGCTTACTGTTGTATTTTTATTTTAGACCACTAACTTCTTCTTTTTTGCCTTTCTCCTCTCCTGAGGTGCTTATTTTTGAGACAGGGTCTCACTTTGCAGTTCAAGCTAGCCTCGCACTCAGCAATCCTCCTGTCTCAGCCTCCTGAGCTATAGATGTGCACCACCATGCCCAGTGAGGCGCTCATTTAACATGATCAATTTCCCTCTGTGTGCCGCTCAACTGAATGTTACAATATATAATATTTTCAGTAATCCAGATCTAAGTATTTTCAAGCTTCCATTATTACTTTGATTTCTCAGTTAAGTGTTTTTAGACTTTCACGCAAAAGAGGACTGAAAGGTGTCCTTTTTATTGGAATATTCTAACACACCAGTCCTGTCACATGGATGATTTATTTGCCACTTGCTTTACGCGCTCACCACAGCACATCTTAACCACCCCACGCACGCTGGTGACGAGTGAACATACCCACTTGGCACAGAATTCCAGATGTTTCTACGAAACCGGGGTTACTGTCAATCTTTTATTTCCCCTGCTAACACTTCTACCTGCTCAGCCTCACAGTACTAAGTGCTTGGCTATGCTATGCATTAAAGTGCCCCTTGCATTTCATGCTTAGCTGGAAGTTTATCCTTTATTTGTCACCCGGTCAGTGAAGGGTTCCGTCATCGTGCGGTGACCCTAGTAATGGATTTTGTCTTGGAATCCTATTGTTTCGTATTTTAATCTCCCATGTTTGACACAAAATTCATCCTTGGCATTTTCTCTAGTCCACTTACTTTCAAACTTTTTATATCCTTTCAAATACTTTATGTTTTTGTTTTGAGACAGAGTTTTGCTGCGGAGCCCAGGCTGGCCTTGAACTGGCGGTGACCCTCCTGCCTCGGCCTCTCGAGTGCTGGGATTAGGATTCGCGCCATCAGGCTCCATGTCTAAAACAGCTCTTGCCCTGAAGCCCCCGGTGACCCCAGACCGATGGACCCGTGGCGTCCTCCAGCCCTTGACTGACGCAGCCGCGGTCGGCGCACACCACTCCGGTGTGGTCTGGTTTTTGTTTCGCTCATCCCCATGCTGTCTGGGCTGCAGTGGCGCCAGTTCTCCTCTCTGATCCTTCTGGCAACTTCGCGTTAGCACTGCCAGCTCCTCCTCTTTCAAAGGACCCTTAGAGCTAGGCGCTCACCTGTGTTCCCAGCACTCAGGAGGCTGAGGCAGGATGATTGCCACAAGTTCAGCACCAGCCTGGGATACATGGTGAGACCCTGGCTCAAAAACAAACGAACAACAAAAAGGCTGCTTCTGCCTTAGCGCTCTCCAGGACTTGGCTTTCCTCCTTCCTCGTTTTGTTGCTGTCTCTAACCCTTCTCACGCACGCACACAGCCTAAACGGAAATGCAGACTGGCGTCAGAGCGTCGGAGTGCGGCATCCCACACTTGAGAAGAAGCCAAGCCCCGGGCCATGTACAGCCACCAAGAGCAGGGGGCGTGACAGGCAGGGTGTCACTGCCACACAGGCCGGAGGGGACAGGAGGGCGGATCTGGGTTCTAAGTCCCCTCTGCCTCTTACGGCATTAAGACCTGGAGCAAGTCTGGTCCCCTCTGGCCTGGTGTCCCTTTTATAAAAACAAGGCTTCGAGTAGGGCGTGATCCCAGCACTTGGGAGGCTGAGGCAGAAGGACCCCCATGAGTTCACGGTCAGCCTGGAATACATAGAAATCCTGTCTCAGAAAAATAAAACAGGGCGCCAGGGATTTAGCTCAGTCGTTCTGGCAACCGTTTTGCAAGCACAGGGTTCCGAGTTCAATTCTGGGTATCAAAAACAAAAGTAACGACAACCAAAAAACCCAGAAGAAACAACCAAAGCGCAGTTTGGTCTGGAAACTACATACAGGGCTGGGGTGGGGGCTCCATGCTGGGTGACCTGTTTTGTGCTCTCCAGAATTCCCGCCCAGACTTCAGCACGACGTAGAGGTACCGTCAAGGTACAGAGCCGCGGGACCGCGGTGGTGTCAACTCTCCCTCCGGGACTTGACACTCTGCCAGCCTCTGTGGACACTGAATTGATATCTGGGCCTTCCAACTTGGCCTCACTGACTCTGATCCTACTTCTCCCAATATATATCCTCAACCCCCCGGCCTGCGCAGGGACTCGTCTGTGTTGTGCATCAACCACCGGTGCGCGCCTCCTTCCGGGAGCCGGGCGGACAGAGGCGCACAGGGAGTCCCGCGGGACTCTGAAGACCCACTGCCAGGGTCCCCTCCCGAGGACCCACGGAGTCACACGAGGAACGGCCCCCGGGCACCCTGCGGTTCCACCCCTCGCCCCGTCTGCCCCACTCCTGTGCTGTGGGCCATCTTCACGTCGCTGGGGACCTGACACCCACATCTTTATTTCCGTACAGCTTCCGGGATGAGTTCTTGGCTTTCACAGGGATCCTTGGAGGCGCCTCCAGCCAGAGCCCACCCTCCCCGGGCCCGGGAACAGTGAGTCCCCCAAGACTGCGCGCTCAAAGCGTCCGACGACTCCACCTATGCGACGTCAGTTTTGGACAGCAGCACCCAGGGCACCTACACTTCCAGTTCTCCTTAGGAAACGCTGCGCTGCTGTGCGGACGGGATCTGAGCGCTGCCGAACTGGGCTCCTGACGTGGGTGCCGGGAGCCGCCGGGCCTGCCAGCCCCCTCCAGCCGGAGCCAGTTCCGTTTCCCCGCAAGCTACAGGCGGACTTTGCCAGGCTGCAGGG